GTTTTCCAATGCCTCTTGCCACAGATGTAGTCAATCTGATTGCTGTGTACTCCATCTGGCAAAGTCCATGTGTATAGCCACTATTTGTGTTGTAGATAAAAGGTATTTGCAATGAATAAGTTGTTGATCTTGCAAAATTCTATCATGAGATCTCCAGCATTATTTCTGTCACCACGGCCAAATTTTCCAACTACTAGTGATTCTTCTTTGTTTTCAACTTTTGCATTCCAGTCACCAGTGATAATCAACATATCTTTATTGCATGTTCGGTCAATTTCAGACTGCAGAAGTTGATAAAAATCTTCAGTTTCCTCATCTTTGGCGTTGGTGGTTGGTATGTAAATTTGAAAATAGTATTAACTGGTTTTCCTTGTAGGCATATGGATGTTACCCTATCACTGACAACATTATACTTCAGGACAGATCTTGAAACATCCTTTGTAATGATGAATGCTACACCATTCCTCTTCAAATGTTCATTCCCAGGGTAGTAGATCATATGGTTGTCTGATTCAAAATGGCCAAACTGGTCCATTTCAGCTCACTAATGCCTAGGATATCAATTTTTATGCATTCCATTTCATTTTTGATAACTTCCAGTTTTTCTATTCATATTTTGTACATTTCATGTTCCAATTATTAATGGATGTTTGCAGCTGTTTCTTCTCAATTTGAGTCATGCCACATCAGCAGATGGAAGTCCTGAGAGCTTCACTTTATCCATATCGTTAAGGTTGGTTCTACTCTGAGGAGGAAGCTCTTTCCCAGTCGTATTTTGAGCGCCTTCCGAGCTAAGGGGCTCATCTTCCTGCACTGTAGTGGACAATGTTCCTGGGCTATTCATAAAGTTGCTTAATGATATATCAAACAGTTTTTCTCTGCTATTCATAAGGTTTTCCCTGGCCAATGCTTTAAGAAGTGGATGGCCTCTCCCTTCTTCCTAGTCTGTCTCAGTCTGTAAGCTTCATTGAAGCCTGTGTACCCTGTGCAAACCTGCTGGCATTTGAAACACTGGTGGCACAGCCTCAAGCCTTACAGCAACACACAAACCACCACAGTAGGACAAACTGACAAACAAGTTTGTCTCCCTTAGCTGTTTGAAACCTCTCTACCCTCTCCTTACCTGGATCCTGCACCTCTGTCATCCCTGGCTTTTACCCCCTTCCTGCCTCTTGGGGTGAGGCCTGTTATCTCCCTCCACTTACCTGGATCCCATGACTCTGTCTTGTCCTTGGCTTTTCCCCTGCTTCCTGCCACCTTGGGGTGAGGGAACTTGGTGCAAGCAATTTCAGATAACATTTTTGTCATGTGCTTCCTGGAACATTCTTGGTACTTATTTTCTGAGAACAACCCCATTTCTTTCTCTTCTCCTCCCCATTTTCATAACTGTGGTGTGGACTAACTCTTCATTGAATGTCTGACTGAACACCTCAATATTTTAGTTTTAATCTACACCAGCAGTATCCAACCCAACTTGCATAGGTGACAACGTTGGGCAAGTAACAGCATGAATGAAAAGTATTAATGAAGCAAGGTGCACCTAGCTGAGGAGAGACAATCAGCATCATGGTGCATTCTTTTTTGTGGTCATACTTGGTAAATTGGAAGCTGAAGGAAAAAAAATACATGTTTATCTACTCTGTGAATTTTCTACTGCTATTTAACAAATCACTGCACTCTTGCTAGTTTAAAATAACCTCCATTTATTGGCTCGAAGTCTTATAAGCCAAACATCTAGACAGTCTGGCTGTGCAGTCTGCTGAGAGCATCACACAGCTGACAACAAGGTGTTGGCCAGACTGGGTTCTTGTCTGAAGGCTCTGGGGAAAAATCCACTTCCAAGTTCATTCAAGTTCATTCTTACTACAGAACTCTGTTCCTTGCAGTTGCAGGGTTAAGGTTCTATTTCTCGGCTCACTATCAGCTATGAGTTGTGCTCACCTTAAAGGGCCACCCACATTTCTTGTCATATGTCCCCTTTTATCTTCAATCAACAACAGTGAGTGGAATGCTTCCTACTTTGAATCTCTGACTTCCTCTTTCTCTGCTTAAACCAGATGAAAAGTCTCATGTGATTAGGTCAGGCCCACCCCAGTGATCCCTCTAGCTTAAGGTCAACTGATTTTGGAGCTGAATTACATCTGCAAAATCCTTGTAACATAATCGAGGGAAGGCCAGCTCATTATATTCACAGGTTCCACTGCACTCAAGGGGAAGAGCTGGATCCTGCCAACTCTGTATACCTTGAGATACTGGATGGCTAAGGTCACCATGTGTCCAAATCAGCTTGACAACAGTAGCTTTGTGTTTGCTTTTGTTTTTTCAGGGAACTTAGGAAGATAGCAGTTCTAGCTTTTTCTGGGCCTGGCTGTGAAGAGGTAAATCCCTCTGGCCCAAATTGATAAAGGCCCAGGAAATGACTGCAGCCATATCAGGCCATTTGGACTTGTCCACAGAGGCAGCCAGTGTCAGCTGTGCGATAACACTGCATGAGGCACAGTTTCCAGAGCAAAGGACAGAGAGTGAAATGCAAAGTCATGGTGCTGGTGGCTGCCAACACTGGCCCAAACTGCTATGATAAGATAACAAGAGAAATTAAGACAATACAGAGTACAGGGCACCAGGGGAATGAACACCTGCAGAAACGGGCAGGCTGTGAAGAAAAGCAGGGCCTGGAAAGAATGTAGATGATGTCAAGAGATGCTGTTTTTGCAACTTTGTTAACACATCAATGCCAAAGGAAGTTCTGTTCAAAAAGCTCCATGAATATGTGATCAGAAACGTGGAGCATACAGCGATGGGCAGAGTAATGTGTGAGACACTAGGAAAGAAAGAAAACCAGAATAAGCAGAATTTTGCTGATCATGGGAAAAGAGCCAAAGTTATTAGGAAGAAGTTATCAATGAGATGGATTGACACGGTGGCTGCGATGATGGGCTCAAGTATAGCAGGGATCCGGGAGCTGGCGCGGGATCAGGCAGTGTTTCGTTCTGCTGTGCATGGGGTCACTATGAGTTGGAAATGACTTGATGGTGCCTAACAACAACATAGAAGAGTCAACATCCTTCTTTAATTTTATGGATTACTTCAACATTGTGGCAATAGGGTACAATTTTTTTTCCACCCCTTTTTTTATCGTTCTGAATGTACACAGTAAAGCATTCACCAATTCAACAGGTTCTGTGTGTACAATTCAGTGACATCAATGACATTCTTCGAATTGTGCAACCATTCTCACCCTCCTTCTCTGAGTGGTGCCTCTCCCATGAACATAAATTCACTGCCCCCTAAACTTCCTAGGTAATCATTTGAGTTACTGCTGTCAGTATGATCCTAAAAGACTGCAATACTCAAGGCTGATCTTTTTCCATTAGTTAATCTAAACTGCTCAGTTCTAAGAAGACTTGAGGGGATACTTTGGGTTTAAGGTTTAAAGATGACCTCAGGGCCAATTTTCAGTGCTCTGATAGTATTTATAGAAAGCTTTATAGTTTTTATCATCGTTAAAGGCCTCTGAGCATACAGGCCGTCTTTGCCATCTTGGCCCCTTGGAAAGCATCCCTGTGGCCATTCTCTTCTGCTTCCGGCTTCTCTGGCTTCGTGAAAGGTGTTAACTGGTAGACAGCACATCCCAGGCTGTGACCACACCTTGTTTGTACTGCCCTTCATAAAGAGTGGCTAACAAGGGGTTGCACCTGTTTCTAGCATGGCGCAGAGCAAAGGGGACTGGAGAGAGTGAATTCCTCCATTCCCACTTTACCCGTCACTGTTAGACCTGGGGGCAGGGCAGTAATGGTTCAGTGATGGCACTCTCACGTTCTGTGCAGCAGTTCGGGGTTCAATTCCCAGACAGTGCACCTCAAGTGCAGCCACAACCTGTCTGTCCCTGGAAGCTTGCATGTTGCCATGATGCTGAACGGGTTTCAGAGGAGTTTCCAGACAAATACAAATTAAGAAGAAAGCCCTGGGGACCCACTTCCAAAACTCAGCCAGAAAATCCTATGGGTCATTACAATCAGATCCCCTTGGGCGTGGGGTGGCCACGAGTTGGGAGCTGACTTAAAAGCAGCCATTAACAATAATGAGCAACTAGAAGCGAGCGGGGACAGAAGAAGGAGCCCTGAACATCATCATCATCTCAGTTCCAGCTTAAAGATGTTGAATGATCTCTGAACTATCTGACTGGTTGTAGCATTCTTCTAGAATCACTCCAGATTACATGAAGAGACGTAATGATTAACAGACCTCTTTCTAGTTTCTCAGCTGTAAAATGGGAATAAAAGTATCTTCCATTCACTCATCCCTTCATCCATCCATCCACTCAATAGATTTAAGTAAGGCCCACAATGAACAAAATGGACAAAAATCCCTGATCTTATACAGTTTATATTCTAGTTGGTTGAAATAAACAAACATACGAATAACAAAGAAATAAAATTGATAGTGTGGGCCCTGGGTGATGCAGATAATTAAGCACTCAATTACTAGCCAAAGGTTGGTGGTGCAGATCTTCACTTTTTGGGCTCTGCCACTCATGTCTGGGTGGTCTTGAGCAAAGAGTTGGCCTCCCTGTGCCCCCATTTCCTCTTCTGTAAAATGGGAATGACGAAAGAGTACCTATCTCAAGGGATTCTATGAGTCAACACATATAAAAAGCACCTCACTTAGTGGTAGTACATAGGAAACTCTCAAAACATGTTGGTTACAATCATTGTTATTTATTCTTTTTATCATATTCTTCATGTTAGCACAGCTTCTGGTGTTTAACAAACGTTTGATCGCATATGTGAAAAAAAAAAAAAATGCCTATTTCCCTGTGATTATCCGCTCCTGGTTGGACACGCCAAACTCCAGGAGATGCAGCCCAGACTCTAGCAGGCAGCTCAGTGTGACTTCAGATGAACCTGGCTAAAATAGGGCTGCAATGCCGAGAGCTCCACTGCAGGCAAGTGAAGCAAGAATCCACTGGATAATCTCAGCAGGAACCTGAAGGTCCACCATCAGTATTCTGCAGTGAAAGGATAATCCTCCAGACTGGCCCCTCTGCAGACAGAATGAGAGAGAATAACTGTCAAGAAGAGCCCTTTCCACAAGCAATGGCGGTGTTGTAAATACGTTCTTCTCTGGGGCATCCTATGGTCTTCATGCTCTCTCAGCCTACCCCTCCCCGAGATTATGAGAAGGCAAAAGACAAGTGTCCACACCTCCACCTTCCCTCGGACTGATCTGAGGGCATGCTAAGAAGGAGGGCAGGCAGGCAGGCAGCAACCAGGGCATAAGAATAAACTCCTAGATTGGCAGTAGGAATCTCCTCAGAGACACCTTGGAAGAAACACCTGGTGATCTACTTCAGAAACGTCACAGTCATTGAAACCCTGTGGAGCACAGCTCTAGTCTGACACATGGGATCACCACGAGTCAAAATCAACGGGGACAACTCCATGGTTAATAAGGCTGGAGCTGAGCACTGTACTGAGTGCCTTCTAACTATCACCTGGATTAGTTTCAGAAGTTCAGACACTGAGCAGCAGTTAGGGATATGTCTTTCTTCATCTATCTGACACTCCAGTCCTAACTTTCCAAACTGCCTGAAGACAGTGTTTGAAGACAAAATAGTCCTAGCTGCCTTCCAAGCCCTCCAGCTCATCATCTACCAGTTTAGGGAAACAGTGATGCTCCCCTTTGTTAGAGTGACCCAGTGTACTTACTCCTTCAGGTCACAGATCCGCCAGTTTCTGTTGAAGCTGAGTATGGTCACCATCTCCTTATCACTCAACTGGAAGTCAAAGACCTGGAAAGGGGGAAGTTCAAGCCAAGGGTCCCTTTCCAGCAGAAAAAGAGCTCACATTCACAGCATTAACTGACCAGATGATGTCCTCATTATGTCCACTGGGCATGAATTTTGCTTTAAACTAGGTCCTATAAATATGACCAAATTGAATCCAAGAAAAGTATAAAAAGAATCATACACCATGACCAAATTGCACTGATCCCAAGTATGCATGGCTAGTTCAACATTCAAAATCAGTTAGTGATTGATTTTTCATATCAACAAAGAAAGACTAACAAAGAAAAATTTTGTGGTCATATCAGTAGATGTAGAAAGGTGTGTGATGTTAGGTCTATGTGCTGACTGCAGATGTTATCAGCTTGGGGTACAAAGGGCAAAGTGGCCAGGCTCATGGGCTTCCCACGGCAGGGATGTTCCTGATGGACACACATGCCCCTCCAGTGAGTAGGTCCTCTCCAGTGTGGTCAGGGCCTCTCTGCTGAATGGGTGGGGGGTGAGGCCAGGAGACTCTACTCCACATGTGATGGTGATCTGCTGCTCAGGGTCTACCAAGCCTCTTAGCAGCTGTGTTCACACCTACCAGTCAAGACAGGTAGCTCCAGCCCATCTCTGGCCCATGAGTCATCTACTTCAGCTCTTACTAACGTCAGCCCCCTGGCCTGGGAGGTGACAGGGTGGTAGGCAGGGGGCAAGGCCCATAGACAACGCAGGGACAAGATGAGGAGCCTGGTGATAAGAGTCTTACCTTCTCCTCCACTGAGGAAAACCAGAGTTGACCAGCAGACTCTTACCTGGAAGTTCTCAGTGATGCGCTTTGGGGTCACAGATTTGGGGATCACAACCACATTCCTCTGAATATGAAAACGGATCAGAACCTGTGGATGAAGGGCATCATGCTCCACTCACCACCAGGACCCTTCCTCCATGAACAGCCAAACGAACCACATTGCAGCTCCCTGCCTTCATTACAACGGCGATGGTGGACTAAATGTGTCCCTGTCAGACACTGGCAGTCTCAGCTGGACGGTATCTCAGAATCTTCACAACAGCCTAAAGAGGCTGGTTCTAAATTTTCTTATTAGGAAAGCACAGTGGCTGGACCAGAGTTGGGTCCCAAGTTGACATGTGATAGAGCTGAATCTCCACCCAGATCTCTCCCACCAAAGGCACTCTGGTCACTGGGTGGTCAGGCTCACAGGAAGCTGCTAGACAGGGTCCATCCCTGTCTCAGAGATAACAGTGTATCTCCTGGAGCCCCAACAGTACTTTCACTAAGAGTCTGACTGGGCCTTATCTGCCCTGGTCTTCCTGTTCACAGAGATAAGTGAAGACAATACAATAAAGGAAACACAGGGCTCTGGATTGCTGGGGGAAGGTGAGGGTTGAGATTAGGAAAATGCAGTACTAATGTACCTGGGCTGGGGTTTTGTTGTGCTTTGCAGCAATCTGCTTGATATTGGGGTCTTCTAGCAGTGAAGGGTCCTCTGGCTTGGCCCTAAAGGTCAACAGATGGCAGGCATGAACAATCACCATGGTTACTATGTTAGATGAACATCTCTTTGATGACAGTGGTCTCAAGGCTACTTTTCCCAGTCTCCTCTAACAATCAGCATGGGTTACTATGTGTAGATGAACATCCCTTCTATGATGGCTTCAAGGTTGCTCCTTATAGTGTCCTCCATCTGGGAGACAGGCAGAAGCACCTGAAGGCCTTGTCTTACTTTTGGGCGCACTATGGCTCTAAATGTTGCCTTGGGAAAGGCTGGTCTACTTCTGAGTGGCTAAACTTGAATAATTGCAGGGGAATAAGCATGTTGCCATTGGGGTGAAAAAAAAAATTTAAAAAAAAAATATACATATATATATATATATATATACACACACACACACACACACACATATATATATCCCACATTTATTCATTGTAATCCCATTTAGATGTACTGAACACATTGCCTATAGCAGGGATTGTGCGGCTGGCATGGGATCGGGCAGTGTTTCGTTCTGCTGTGCATGGCGTCGCTATGAGTCAGAAACGACTCAACGGCACTTAACAACAACAACAACGAACACATTGCCTTAGACATAGTATATTTGCCAGTGGCTTGTAGTCTTATGCCAATATTAACCAATTATGAGTAATTTTTTAAAGAACATCAAGAGAAAGACCCCTGAGGAGCCTCACCAAGGTCTGTCTGGAGAGCCCAGCGGGCTGTAGGCAGTAACTGCAATGCCCTTAGACTGGCAGTACTGGATCAGCTTCTCCTGTGTGAGGTATGGGTGACACTCAATCTGCAAAGCAAACAATCCCGTCACTAGGAAGTTGGGCTGTGGATGGAGTTAGGGAGTTCTATGTACACAAAAAGGATAGCCAAACACAGACCAAACACTGCCTACTGGTATATTGGATGCCAAACCCTGTGACTGACTCAGATCTCCCCAAAGCATCCTCATCACGGGCCCCTGAGAGGCAACTCAGTACACAACACTGAACTTGCCTCCAAATGTTTATGAACCAGAATTTACCTGGTTAGTCACCGGTTTGTGTTTCAGTCCAGGTTTGTTCAAAAGTCTCTCAATCTGGAAGTGGTTGAAATTAGAGACGCCAATGGCTTTCACCAGCCCCTCATCCACCAGATCCTCCATGGCCTGTCACAGAGGCAGAGGTGAGACTCAGGGAGGTCAGAGAAGAACGGGATTAACGTGGGTCACAGTAGTCAGGGAGGCTTCGTGGGTGGATTTTGAACAGGGGCTTGAAAAGTAAGTTGGAGAAAAGAAGGAAGAGACGAGAGTAGGTGGGGAGGGGGTCAACATTAATGGTCTGAGACAGGGGCAAGCACAAGGGCTTCAAGGGACACGTTATCTGTGGTTCTCAAACTTGGCTGCCTTTTGGAACCACCAGAGAGTTTTTAAAATGTTGATGCCTGGCATTCCAGCCCCAGAGTTTCTTCCTGAATTGGTCTGGGTAGGGACATGCACACTGGGACTTTTGAAACTCCCAGGGGATTTCAACACAAAGCTAAAGCTAAGAACCACTAGGGTGGATTAGAAGGGTCTTCAACCAGGGGAAACTTGAAGTTGAGAACTGATGGGATCAGAAGGGCCCTGAAACTCTGGAGATGGCGCATGTGATGACAGGAAGGGTTTGTGTGTCACAGATAAAGCCTACTTGGGTTGTGGCACATCTGAACTCCTTTACACATTTTTTTCAGCCTCTGTTTAGGAACGGTCAGTAAGGTTTCTGTTGATCTGGTTGTAGGTCCACATGATCACACATTACTTATGTTTCAGTCCTACACATTTCATCTCAGACTCCCCCTCATCTTGATCAACAGTATCTCTTCGGGCCTTCAGAATGCTCTCTGTAACAGTCATTGTCAAACTCATTCAGGGAAATCAGGGCACTTTTGGCAGACATCAATGACGTGATTACCATCATTAATACCATCATATAAGTGAGGGCAAAAAAGTCTTGTGGAGCAAACATTAGAGACATGCTTGTCTCCACATCTCAAAAGGAATAATTCCTAGGATATTTAAGAAGTCATGTTTTATCAGGGTGATAAAAATGACAGAAGTGCTCTGTCAAATTCATCACACAGGGTGAGCTTGCTGAAATCTCAGGCTGAGTTGCAGATCTTGTCACAGTCTTCACTCTTAGGAACAAAGCATTCATTGAGGAAGTCCGTACAAGTGAACCATTAATCTTGAAATTTTTCTTTATGGTGACAGGGAGGTAAATATGTTGATCCTTTTCTACAGTTAAGTCCCAGAATTCCAGTTTTCTGCTTATGGCTAATATTTTGTTGCTAGCAAAGAGAGTGATCACTTTACTTGAAGGTTCAGGCTTAATCAATTTGTTTCAGTGAAAATATCAAGTATTTAAGACTATAGCTGAACAATTGCTCATGGGATCATTAAAGGAAACAGAATGTGTAAACCTAAAAAGAAAAAGAAAAAAGTTGATTTCAACTTATAATTTGAACCCTCTGTCTAACATTGACAAGGGACCCTAGAGGTGCAGTGGGTAAGCTCTCATCTCCTTACTAAAGGGTGGGCAGTTCTAGCCCACCAGTTCCATGGAAGAACAATGTGACAGTCAACTTTGGTAAAGGTTTACAGCCTTGGAAACCCTATGGGGCAGTTACACTGTCCTATAGGTTTGCTAGGAGTTAGAATCGACTCAATGATAGCGGGTTTGTATGGTTTGGATCCAGTACGTAAGAAGCCCTGGTGGCAAGTGAATGAACTCTCAGCTACTAACTGAATGTCTGGCAGTTAAAACCCACCAGCCTCTCTGGGAGAAAAATGTGCCAGTCTGCTTTCTTAAAAATTACAACCTTGGAAAGCCTAGGGAGCCATTCTAGTCTGTCATATGGGGTCATTGTGAGTCAGAATCAGCTCAACAGCGGTGGGTTATGAGTCTAGTACTTGGACTCAACCAGCTCTCGCAATGTCCATCTCACATTGTACTATGGCTTCATAGTTAGTCATATGAGGAGCATAGCACACACATATGCCAAATTGTGCCTTCATAAGATTTTCCCAAGAGTATCTGATTTGCTTCTATTTATTGTCTCTGCTCATGAGGCATGCTATTTCTAATAATTTTTATTAATATGGCTCTGGATTGAAGAAACCATTGCTTTTATTATTATTATTGCTAACTTTGATTTTACAGAACCTAACTGCAAATGTCTTAACCTCACCAAGCAAGTCCAAGGGTACCATTGAAGATAGTTCTTTGTTATGGACAAGAGCTTTTTTTTCTTTTTTTTTCTTTCTACATACAACACACAGAGCTTCAGGACAATCTTCAGGATGGGCTTTGAAGGGTAGACCTCGAAGTCAGATAGATCTGGGGCCTATCCCAGTTTTGCTATGCACTTGCTGTTAATCTGGACAAGCCATCACCATTTCTCGGTCTCAGTTCCCCCATTTATAACAGGGAAGACTCACAGATCCTTCCCCCTAGGGCTATGCTGATTAAGGGAACCTATGAGTAATGTTCCTGTGCTCAGTAAATATTAGTGAGCTTAATCTTTTCCACCTCCTGAAAGATATGTGTTATTACTAGGATGTATTAAAAAAAAAAAAATTAAGATGAGGAAAGTAAGGCTTAGAGGAGTGAAATAACTTCCTCCAGGTTATTCAGCTAATCCATGTAAACCCAGGCCAATATCCCTGCTCAGATCCCTCTCCTCCAGCTGGAATGGTGTGTATTCCCAAAGAGGGGTGTTGTGTTGTTGTTGTTGTTAGGTGCCATTGAGTCATCTCCAACTCATAGTGACCTTATGTACAACAGAACGAAATACTGCCCGGTCCTGGGCCAGCTTTACAATCCCTGCTATACCTGAGCCCATCATTGCAGCTACTGTGTCAATCCATCTCGTTGAGGGCTTTCCTCTTCTTTGTTGATCCTCCACTTTACCAAGCATGATATCCTTTTCCAGGCAATGGTCCCTTCTGACAACATGACCAAAGTAGATGAGACCAAGTCTGGCCATTCTCACTTCCAAGGAGCCTTCTGGCTTCACTTCTTCCAGGACAGATCTGTTAGCTCTTCCAGCAGGCCGTGCTACTTTCAGTATTCTTTGCCAACACCACAACTCAAAAGCATCAACCTTTTTTTTTGGTTTTCCTTATTCATTATATAGCTCTCACATGCATATGAGGAAATTGAAAATACCATGGCTTGGTTTAGGCACACCTTAGTCTTCAAGGAGACATCTTTGCTCTTCAGCACTTGAAAGAGGTCTTTTGCAGCAGATTTGCCCAATGCAATATGTCTTCTGATGTCTTGACTGCTGCTTCAATTGGTGTTGATTGTAGAACCAAGTAATATGTAGTCTTTGACAACTTCAGTCTTTCCTCTATTTATGGTGATGCTTCTTATTGGTCCAGTTGTGAGGATTTTTGTTTTCTTTATATTGAAGTGTAATCCATACTGCAGACCGTAGTCTTTAATCTTCATTAGTAAGTGCTTCCAATCATCCTCACTTTCAGCAAGCAAAATTGTGTCATTTGCATATCTCATGTGGTTAATGAGCCTTCCTCCAATCCTGATGCCACATTCTTCTTCATATAGTCCAGCTTGGTGGTACAGTGATATTTCCCTTGGAGGATTCATTCTTAGCCTTTAGAAATATCAAGAGTGTCAGAAAAAAAAAGCCAAAAGCCAAAGGTGATTTGGAAGGAACTAGAGGAACCACTGGTAGCATAGTGGCTAAAGCACTTGACTGCTAACCAGAAGGCTGGTGGTTCAAACCCACCAGCCACTCCTCGGAAGGAAGGTTGGGCAATCCTACTTTCGTAGTGATACTGCCTCGGAAACCCAAGGAGGGGTCGCTATGAGTCGGGGCCGACTCGACGGCAAAACAACAACAACAGAGGAACCACAGATGATTTCTAGGACATTAAACAGTGTCACATACCTGGGTTGTCTTGTGCTAGCAAGCAGTGGGGAGGATCACTGTAGCAAAGTTTTTCTTTAGAAAAAGCTGGAACCTACCTCCCAGGCATCCAAGAATGTTGTCTTACTGAGGAGGAGATTGCCTTTCTCATCTTTGGGGAAACATTCCTTCCCAGGCTGTAAATGCAAAACAAAAACTTAAGCTGGAATCACCCTCCAGACCCTGAGTTCTATTTACAAGGTTCCAGACTCCTGGACCTCCTCCATGGGCTAAACAACCACAACCACATGATACTTTTTCAGACTCTGGGCTACAGACTTTAAGAACCTGAGGTTAAACAAAATTTCTAAACCAATCTACTGCCATATGTAAGTCCTCATATTTTAGAAACTGCTGGTTTATTTCAAAATTCTTCATTAGTGAATCTCAAAAGCCAACACTATCACCGTGGACGTTGACCTCATGCACTCAAGGCCCACATAAACTTGGGAACAAACTTTAACTTCAAGAGCAGCAGGCAAGTCCCATCACAAGAGTGGCATTTCTGGAGAAGGCATTGGCATGCTTCTCTTTTTGTAGGCTCAGGAGGCCTGGAGGGAGGATGGTGCCAGTCATCACCTCACAGACCGCGAGATGAGAGAATTGGCCATCACGTCCCCTCCCACCTTCAAAGAGATGGAGGGGAGCCCAGAACAGGCGCACTGGTCTTCAGCAAGGACTGGCCACCCTCCAGCAGGAACGTCCTTGGGCTTTTCTCCAAGATGCCACACCCAGAGTGTGCTTTGTAATTACAAGAAGGTTGAGCCCTGAATAGTGTTATGAAAGAGTATCACAACTGGAGTCCATGGTATGGAATCAGGACAAAAACAACATGGAAGCCATAGCCTCTGTGGGCTGCCAGAAATGATATCCCTTGCAGATGTAACTCAGAAGATCAAGCACATGGCCAGCTCTGTAGCCCTGGCCTTGACTTCTTTGACAACCCAGCCCTTTGGTCTATAGCAGTCTCCTGACCACCTGCATCTCACAGGTGTGAAAGGAAAGAGCTCCTACCTCAGCCTCCCCACAGCTGGCTCAGTGGATGCTCTCTGGGATCTGCTTAGAAGTGAGAAATGGGATGAGTATTAGCTCCAACCTGCAGCCCTTGTGGCCAGTGAATAAGGTAGATGTCCAGATAGTCTAGCTTCAGATCCTTGAGGGTCTTCAGACAGGCTTCCTTCACCAGGGGCCTCTCGAAGAAGGTAGACCACAGCTGCAGAGAACGACAATCAGGGTCAGTACTGAGACAGAAGTCTCCATCACCCATATCTCCCTGCCCCTGGATCTAACCTGGGACTGGCTCTTTATAGCAAAAGTGGTTCAGACTATGACCTAGGTGAGCTTGGCCACCAGGGCTCAGCAAGTCAAGGACTGTTTCTAAGTGCTGAGCAGTTTTTTGCTCAGCTCTCCTAGCATGTTATATATATATATTAGTGGGTGTATTTGGTCCCTGATCCTACACTTGTTTCCCTGTGTCATCCACCCCTCAGCTGTAGGCTCCCTGAGAGCAGGGATCATGTCTAACTGAGATTCCAAGTTCTCAGGCCTCAGGGCCAGAAGTTTCTTTTTCTGCAGCCCCATGTCTCCAGCCTGCTGGTCCCAGTGGTGGCTTCTCACAGAGTCCTCCAGACTCAGCACTTCAACAGGATCTGTGTACTGGGTGACACGTGCTCTTTCTAGGACCTGAAGCTTGTGTTTTAGGTGTGCATAATACCAGGCCAGTGAGTCCCAACCTTACAGACTAATGCACATACTCTTTTTTTAAAAAGAAAAATAATATTTGTAACTTGTTTTTTATTAGGCTCAAAGAAAATGAAAATCATATGTAACAATAAAAAATAAATGTTCCCACAGTTTACAATCCTCCTTCCCCCAAGTTGAGGACCTCAGGGCCTTATCCCTGGAGACTACTCTCTGCAAAGACAACTTCCAAATCCATCCCTGACTGTCCCATGATCAACACTGCCCCACTGATCAACACTGGGCAGATGAATTCCATGACGGCTGGGAGGCCATGGCCATCAGTGTGGCTCAGTGGATCCTCCCCCATATGGAAAACCCAATTGAGAGGCGTAATCCAGGGGCATCATCTCCCTATTCCAGTCCTGGATGGAGTATGGTTATGTGGGTACTAGGTATGTCATAACACAGAGAGGAAGAGGGCTGGGGAAATAACTTTTTGCTTGTAGGGAAGGGTAGAGAATCGTTGGTGTTGACCGAACCAAACTCTTCTGGCTGCCCTAAGGTTAAGACTCCCTCCCACCCCACGGGCCTTGGGCACCTTGCTGACAATGAAGAGGTCCTCACGCCTCACAGCCTTCTCTTGGAGCTTCTCCTGGATGGCCTCCCCCACCTCATTCTGATTCTCATACATGAAGGCACAGTCAATGTGGCGGTACCCCACGTCAATTGCTGCCTTCACAGCCTCTTTGACTTGGCCTGGAGAAGACTAAGGAGAAGGAAAAGACAATTATGTGCTTTCAACCCTAAACCAACACCTCAGGACTCCCCTCCATGGCCTACCTCTCCATACCATGGCCTTTCTGGGCCCAATTTCCAGGGGATACTGAGGTAGAGAACACTCTTTGGGGAGCATTTCAAAGGAGAAGAACGCAAAGATTTTGTGATCATGGCTCATATCCCATTCTATGCAAAAATCAATTCCTCTTAGTCTAGGTTAATCTTCCAGTCTTAACACAGCCCAAGTGTGTGTGGGTGACTCATGGTTTCTCATGTCCCCCTTGGTAAAGATGGGCTGACCTACAATTCCTCATCCCCCTTTTTTCTAAATATGAGTGGCCATGGTTCCTAGTCCCTCCTTTAAAGTGTGGAGTGACCTCCAGTTTATAGTGCCACCCTTTGTAAAATAGGGTCAATCAGATCTCCTTGTGCCCCCTTTGTAAATATGTGATGACCCATGGCTCATAATTGCCCCTTTGTAATGATGGATGACCCACAACTCTGGGTGCCTTCATGCCCTCATGAGGGTGACCCACGGCTTCTAGTGCCCACTTTGTGAAGACAGGGATGAACCGTGGCTCCTAGTCCCTCCTTTGAAATGTAGGATGATCCACACCTTGTAGTACCCCCCCTTTCTAAAGATGAGGCCACCCACAGCTCACAGTGCCCCCTTTGTGAAGACCAGGCTGAAACTGCCCTCTGAAATGACCCAGAAAAATTGGCAGAAAAGTTCTTCAAACAGTGGTAAGGCTCTGCATCAAGTTAGTCTGGATAAATCCAGGCTCCACCACCAGCTAAGCATCTGGCCTCAGGCAGGTCAATCAATATATACCTTGTCTCCGAAATGAGAGTTACAACAGTACTTGCCTCAGGGGGTGGTTGGCTTGGTAAAGGGCCACAGTAAATGGAAAGTGGTCATCCTAGGGTGGGGACCTAGGAGGGCTCGGTGGGCATGAGCTATTACATAACAGTTGTTTCCGAAAAGGGAGAAGAACACCATCTTGAAAGAACAGAGGTTCTTTTCCCCCTCAAGGAAAAATGGAAATACATTTTAGTCTAACTTGGTCAACCCAAGCACTATAAAGAAAAAGGAAAGAAAGAAAGAAAAGGACTTTGTACTGAATTCCACAAAATCTTTTTTAAACCTCTTCTTTTGTGAAATAGCAAACATACCAACAAAGAGACAAAGAGAATGTGCAGATGTGTTGCATCAGGACAGGAAGTGGGCCCAGGGGCCGCTCTGCCGCCCCTGGGGCCCCTGTACCCCACTGCCAAGTGCCTATCTTTAAAATGACGTCATCCCCAGATCCTGAAAGGGTTCTCTCCACAGTGCTCACCTGTCATTCGAAAACCCCGTTCTGTCATTGATCTGGGGTGAGCAGAGTCTCTGGTGTGTCATTATTTGTTATATTTCTATGGAGGTTAAGGCTCTGATTGGGGATAAAACAGCTCTGTCCCAGCAAGAGACGCTGGGGCTGAACCTGCAGGAAGCTACATACTCCCCCAACGGACCCAGTGTGCTTCCTGAGAATATCCAGTGCTGGGACCATAGGGTGTCACCCTCACCCACAGAGGACCTGGGAAGGACAATGCAAAGGAGGCTACGACCCCAGAGAAGGAAGAATAGGCAGAGAGAAGACAGAATGGAGATTCCTCCTAGTAGCTAGTTAGGGTGGCATCATCACTGACGGAAATGCGAAAAAAGGCCGTCAGTCAGAAAACAATGAGAAAACTTTCTAACTTACTGTTCTGCTTCCCTAGTGCCGCTCTGACAAGAATATACCACAAATGGGATGGCCGTAACAAACAGGAGTTTATTCTTACAATTTGGAGGCTTTAAGTCCAAGTTCAAAGTGCCAGGCTCTACTGGATGAAAGCCCCTCAACCTTGGGGTCCAGCTCTGCCTCCTGCTCCTGGCCCACTGGAGCTAGAGGCGTTTCTTCACTCAGATAGCTGCTGCTGGCTGCTGAGGCTGAGAAGCCCCAAGGTTGACAAGTCAAAAGGCACAGTCCCGATGTTTCCAAACCACACGGCAGGCCATTAACTTAAAAGTCCATTGTAAGTCTCAAGGTCAGCAGAGCATAGCAGGCTGCTGAGCAACGACGTGACTACCCGCAGGGTCCAAGCATGCCATAGGCTAGAGACCATTCCCATGGCTTCTCCTTATATACAGGAAGTAGCCCACGTCCCAAAGCAGCTACTCAGCTGCTTGTGGTAGATCCCACCATGCAGGTGATTGCCAGTCTCATCATGGGGAATAACTACCACCAGCTGCCCAGTCACTCCACCAGGCCCAGCCAAGTTGACTCACAAACATAACTACAACACTTACCTAAGAGGTGCAGGGACCAGCTCACTGAGCCCTGGATGGGGAAAGTGTCTGCCGCCTTGCCAGAGACATTGGCGCAGGCCAGCTGACATGGATCCAGCCAGCAGAGCCAGACTCCCCACCCAGGCACGGGGCAACCCTCCCAGGGAAGCAGCATTCTGGGACTTGAACTGCACTGGAACCCCTGAGGGTCTCGTTCAAGTACAGATATCAACGCAGAAGGCCTGGGGTGGCTCCAGGACCACACCGCACACAGCCAGGGCCACAGGCCACATGTCCTCCCCTCAATCACTCATCCACCAGGCGGTAAACTCCAACAATGTGGAGGTCCCAGAGCCAGGGAGCAGCCAGAGGAAAGTCTTCTAGAGGAACTGCCCTGGAAAACAACTGTGTTTGTCAGCCCAGCACCTGCTTGAAACTGATCCTACACAGGAAGCTCTGTCCTCCCCCAGGAAAAGCAGCCGTGCAGCTTTGGAGGCTGAGTCTGCTGCTGAGAGGGGAGTGTGAGTTCCTGCCTTCAGGGCTGGACTCTCCCTCCCTACAATCTACCAACAGCAGGGCTTCCTGGCTAAAGAGCCCCCGAGGGAGGCAGGGGTCCACACAAGTGCATGTCTACCTTCCAGGTGCCCAGGCCCACGATGGGCATCTTGACTTTGGTGCTGAGCTCCACAAAGGTGGCCATGGTCAGGACAGAAACAGATCTGAGCAGAGGGTGCCGGGCAGACTGTGCTCCGTGCCCTGGATGCCGACAGAGGGAGGAGCCACCTCTGGGGCTGGGCACATTCCAGTCCTGGTAGAACAGCCTGTCTTATCTGCTCTTGTCCTGAAGAAAGCTAATAAATCTCACATGGCAACCGCATGCAAAACTCTCACTGGTGGAGCAGGCTTGCTGGTCTGATAGAGCCTGATGGAATCACTGAGACTATGGCCCCTAGCTGCCCTTCAGGTCTGGAATTGAACCCATACCTGTGGCTTCCAGCCAAACAAAAGACAGGCATATGAGTTGAACATTTACCTCAAGTAGATACACTCCTTGGAGAGAACAATCATGGGAGAAAGAAGGGCTGTGTATGTACAGGGAGACAGCTCAGAGGGCAGAAGTGCATGGAGAAATGGACACAGGGAATAGGTAACTATGGGGAGGAAGTGGGAGGCGAGCTGTTGCATTGGGGTAAATTGTAGTCAATGTCATGAGACAAAGTATATGTGAACTACTGGATGGAAAGTGAATTTGCTGTGTAAATTTGCACCCAAATCACAATTGAAAAAAGAAGAAAAAGTGCATAGGAGCTCTGGTGGCATGGTGCCTAAGGCATTTGACTGCTAACTAGAAAGCTGCCCATTCAAACCCACCAGGCAGTCCTCAGGAGGAAGATTGGACAATCTACTTCCATAGTGATTTAAAAAAAAAAAAAAAAAAACACTTCCTGGTGCCAAATGCATGAATAACTTCATGACAGTTACACCCAGGGGTTTTTATCAACTTTTGTTTTCTTTTGTTGCGAGTTTGGTGTCCAGACAGTGAAACAGCAGGCCTTCTCACATCGACTGATTGCTCCACGGTGGTGCTTTTTCCCCAGGGCATGGAGCGTGCCTGGTACCCACCGGGACAGGATCTTTATATGTTTGTATTCTTCGTGTTTTTACTTAGGCTTTTGGGCTTTGATCAATTCTATTTATAATGAACTTTTTTAAAAATTCTTGTGGCTTCAGTGAAAACTAAAAAACGAAACAAAACTTTGTGATTATAAAAATGACGTACACTCATTATGGAAAATTGGGGAAATACCGATTATAAATAAGGGACTATAAATCACGTGTATTCCCAGCACTCAGAGCCCATTGTCTTCCAGCCATGCATGTATACTTGTAATACATCACACGGTCAGTTGTATGCTAGGCTTTTAAACTTAACACCATAAAACAAACTTTTGTATACATTTGTAAAAGCTCTTTTTAAAATTGTTTTACACAAAATACCCATTTGTAATGAATTTAAAAACTTTCTTCCAAAAACACCGTAGCCCTTAGTGCTCCCACCAGCACTGCAAGGGCTTATTTCTTGGTATCTTCACCAACGCTCCATCAAGTTCATGCATGCACTGAGATGATTGTGTGAACTGTATCTTCTTTTGCATAATTCTTTTGATCTCTTTGGACATCACTCTGTTTTAGTGAGAGTATGTAGTAAGAGTGTGCTTTAATAACGAGCTGTTGTGACAGTGCTTGAGTGTTGAGCTGCTGCTGAAAGGTCAGCAGTTCAAACCCACCAGCTGCTCCACAAAAGAAAAATGTGGCTGTCTGCTTCTGTAAAGATTACAGCCTTGGAAACCCTCGGGGGCAATCTAGTCTGTCCCATAGAGTGTCTACAGGGTCAATTTGGATTGGAATCCACTTGACAGAAATAGGTGTGCTTTCATATCTGCAAAGGTAAATCCTCCCCATTACACGTCTTCAAAAACATTTTTTACATATTCTTTCATGTTTTTTCTTGTGGATAAATTTAAAACCAATTTTTGTCAAGTTTCCAAAAATGTGCTAAAACTTTAAATGGGATGATATATATTGTAACTTGAATAAAACTGGCATTTTATAATATCTAGATTTCCTAAAGGCGCTCTGGTGGCATAGTAGATAAGACATTTGGCTGCTAACTAGAAGGTCAGTGGTTCAAACCCACCAGCCGCTCCATGGAAGGAAGATGGGGCAATCTACTTCCATAAAGATTTACAGCCTCAGAAACTCAGGGGGGGTCACTGTGAGTCAGAATCAACTTGATGGCAGTGTGTTTGGTTTGCGTTTGAAAACTTCCTAAAGGAGTCTGGTGGCTGAATGGTTAAAGCATTTGGCTGCTAACCAAAAGGTGGGAGGCTGGAAACCATCAGCTGCTTCTGTAAAGATTTATACCCTTGGAAACCCTTTGGGGACAGTTCTACTGTGTCCTATGGAGTCACTGTGAGTCTAAATTGACTCAATGGCAGTGGGCTTGGTTATTTGAGTTTTATAATCTCTAACAAGCAATATGGGGGTTCAGGTGGTATAGTGCTAATGGCATGCGGCTATGAACCAAAAGGCCAGTGGTTCAAACCCACCAGTTGCTCTGTAGGAAAGATGAGGCAGTCTGCTTCCGTAAAGATTTATAGCCTTGGCAACCCTATGGGGCAGTTCCACCCTGTCCTATGTAGTTGCCATGAGTCGGAACCAAGTCCACGGCAATGGGTTAGATTTGGGGTGATAAGAAATGTAGCCTGCTAGCAAGCTGCCATCTAGACGCAACGATGGGTCTCTCCTCGTCCAGAACAAAGAATGAAGAAAACCAAAAAGTCATGGAAACAATTAGTCCTAGCGACTGGTACACCATCTGATCTGCAGCCTATACGACTATGAGACCAGATGAACTAGATGGTGCCCGGCTACCACTGTCATCCCCTTGGAAGGGGATGTATGTAGGAGATCCTTGGTAAAGAGCGAGAACAATGTGGAACAAAACTCAAAATCATTTGGAGGAAAAAAAAGGAGGGGGGACCAGGTTTGCTGGTCCAATAGAGCCTGGTGGAACCACTGAGACTATGGCCCCTAGTTGCCCTTCGGGTCTGGAATTAAACCCACACCTGTGGTTTCCAGCCAAACAAAAGACACGCATATGAGTTGAACATTTACCTCAAGTATATACTCTCCTTGGAGAGAACAATCATGGGAGAAAGAAGGGCTGCTTATGCACAGGGAGACAGCTCAGGGGGCAGGAGTGCATGGAGGGATGGACACAGGGAAGAGGTAACTATGGGGAGGAAGTGGGAGGGGAGCTGTTGCATTGTGGTAAACTGTGGTCAATGTCATGAGACAAAGTATATGTGAACTGCTGTATGGAAAGTGAATTTGCTCTGTAAATCTTCACCCAAATCACAATAAATAAATAAAAAGAAATGTAGCCTGCTTTGTTGTGTACCCAGGTATTGTTTTATCATCCTGAGCAACATTTTGTGTCTTCTTTCATCTAGTTTATACACATGGCTTAAGGTTATCATCTAGGGATTTTATGTCTCTTGTTGCTATGGTAATATAGGGTCTTTTCTTGTTATAATTTCTAGTGGCCATTACTGGTCTAGGTGCTCTGGTGGCATAGTGCCTAAGGCATTTGACTGCTAACCAGAAGGCTGGTGGTTCAAACTCACCAGGCACTCCTCAGAAGGAAGATTGGGCAATCTACTTCCATAGAGATATCACCTTGGAAACCCAAGGAGGGTCGCTATGAGTCGGATCCGACTCAAGAGCTGTGAGTTTGTTCTTTGTTGTTGTTGTTGTTGTTGTTTATTACTGGTCTATTGAAAAGTCTTTCACTTTTGTCTAAATATTTTCTTCCAACCATTTTATTAGAAAATTCTTCATTGTAGTTGCTTTTCAGATGAGAATGAATGGAGAACAGGAAGTGAGGAGCTGAAATCTTGGCATCACTTAACTTCTCTGAGAACTATTTTCAACTTTTCTTATCAGTCTTGGACTGTTCCTAGATTGATTTTTCAAGTTTGAACTTACTGAAGGGAAACTGACATCTGTTAGGCTCTCCATCAACAGATAGGGGTCCCTGTGTTACAGTAACCTAATGGACCACTTTTCTACAAATGATTTCATCTTAAAGGGCTCTCAGAAGACATTTTAGTCAAAGCAAATCATAAGAATAGCACCAATGTAAGGAATAGGGAAACAGGTTCAATCTCTTGATGGGAGTGTCTGTGGAAAAAAAAAAAAAGACCATTTTTAACCAAAAGCAGGAGGTTTAATAAAAACTGTCTTTCTAGCTTTCTAACTTCATTAATTTACAGATGTACCTCTGGTTTAATGCTTTTAAGAAACTATATTTGCCTCTTATTTTGTTTGAGAATTATATTTTTATGTGTAGCGCATTTTCTTATGTTTTAATAAAAAGTAAATACAAATTTGAGAGATTATTTTATAGAAGAATGAAATACTGTTGACCATTTTTCATCATCTCTGAGTCCCACTTAAATTCATCCAAGAAGGAGAAGCAACAGCAACAAATGTATCTGTAGAAATAGGGAGAAAAAGAACAATTCCTAGAATGGTGGGTCGCAGAGAAGTTTTTAGGCAGAGGAATGGTATAAGCCCAGGCCCTGTGGTGGGAGAGATGGAGATGCACTGGGGGAACCCAACGTGCAGATGCTCAGAGCCAACTACAGGGTGTGCAACAGTAGAGAGGTATGTAGGACCCAGATGGACCACAGCCACGAAGCCACACTTGGAGCTATATTTACCACGAAGCTGGAGTAACACGCGCCCACCACCTTCACTTGCACAGACTCCTTCTGAAGCTTTGTACCTAATTGTGAATTCCTAACTTTATATTCTTTTTTCTTAAAAAGAAAACCCAAAATTTGTGTTAATGTTTTTGTCTTTTTATAGAGTTATGGAAAGCCTTTGGAGTTTGTTTTTTAAAAAATTAAGAAACATTTGAACACATGCTAAAGTATATTTCTCTTTTCTTCTCTCTCTTTTTCTCTCCTTGGACTTTAGTTACTTAAGAAACCAAGTCAGTTATTCACTGTCATTTCCCACAGTCTGGATTTTGCCAATTACACCCCCATGGAGTTCTTTACTGTGTCATTCTGTCACCTGAATAACCTGGAAATGGGTAGTTGGATCTAGATGCTTGGTCACATGGATGTA